CACCACCATCCCAACCTCCAGCCACACCAGCGCCCCGCGCACTCACCCCTGCTCCCGGCTCTTCTTTCTCTTGCGTTCCTTTCCTCCCAGAGCCATGCTTACACTCGAGCTTCCGGAACCGCCACAGTGTTGGGTCCGCACTTCCGGGCTCCGGCCAGTCCCGAGTTCCCACTGCTTCCCGGTTCCGACTACTTCCTTCCGGGGCCTTGCTTTCCGGCTCAGGACCACGCCCTTTCCTCTCCACGCATCCGCGGCTGCGCAGAAGCCGTCTTGGGCTTACTGCAAGGGCGCTATGCGAAACACGGTTTAGGAGGCCTGCCAGGTCCTGTCCCTGTAAGGGAGATCTAGGCTCGGGAGTGCACAAAGTCTGACGAGTAGCTGAGGTCTGACGTGCAAGTGAGGGTCAGCTAAAGCCTGGCATGATGGCTCAGGTCTTTAACCCCAGGATTTGGGGCCCGAGGCAGCCGGATTGCTGCAAGTTACAGGTTAGGCTAAACTACACAGCTCCAGGATAGCTACCTTGTGTCAAACAAAGCAAACACCCAGCCTAGGGTCGGCTGCCGGCCACAGCTCAATGAGGAAGCCTCATTCCAGAAATGAGGCTACAGGGGTGTGTGTTACCAGTCTGAAGTCGGTGTGGAGGGTAAAAAGGTCTGTACACGTTTTCCGAGTCGGTAAAAAGTAGTTGGGACCACAGCTCTAACTATCCACATCCCTGAACGATTCCATTGTCAAAGCTGTCCCGACAGTCTTTCAGTAAATACTTGGTACTTAAAACCTTTCTTTTTGTTTTTGTTTTGGGTTTCAATACAGGGTTTCTCAGTGTAGCCCTGGCTGTCCTGGACTCAATTTGTAGACCAGGCTGGCCTCAGACTCATATCCGCCTGCCTCTTCCTCCCGAGTGCTGGGATTAAAGGCATGCATCACCACTGCCCAGCTTCCTAGCATAATTAGTTCCTCTGTTAACGTCTGCTTTCATTTTATCATAACTGAAGCCATTTTATCTTTAGTCTCCATTTTTATCATAAGGTGAAATTGAGTTCAAGTTCTCAGGCTCTGCCTGCTTGACACAAAAATAGCCTTTACTTACAATTCAATAATTCAATACTTGCTGCTTAGAATAAAACAAGAGATGGTAAGAGCATGTTCTGCTTGAGTTAAAGATAAATGTATGCTCTGTTAGAAATAATCTGAAACATCCTACTATGTTCCTTTCCCCTGGAAAACCGGAAAGTCAACAAAAGTTCCCCTACCCTAAATCCCAGCCAATCAGCTTAAAATGCTTCATCAGGCTACCTAGACACAATGTACCTGGAACAGAACTGATTCTTCTTCCTTGACTAGACACACTGTATCTGGAATAGAATTGATTTTGAATTGATTCTTCTGCTTTGGTTGTGGTCTTTTTCCTTTAAACTCACTCTGAGGACAACTCATTGTCACAGTCTTGGTTCCTGAATCCAGACTGTGTCATCTCTCTGAGTCTGGTGTCTTGGTGGTCAGTGTACAGTTATTCCTGAACCCTAACACTTCAAGCCCACTTTCTGACTTACAGAAATTCCTATTTGGGAAGCTGTTGGCAGGTAATGACTACTGGAGGAAGGGAAATGATTTTTTTCTGCAGTACTATAGTCACTGGTAAGTTGCTAGTCAAACAACCCTAATTAAACTCATTAGAAAACAAAAAGACATTGTGGAGGTATGGCTCAGTGGTTAAAAGGTACGTGCTGCTTTTCCAGAGCACACAAGTTCCAGCTGCTCACTGAAAACAATGAAATAGAGGAGAAGGACATAACCACTACTGCTAAAGTATGGAGAAGACATTTGTTGTAGATATATGAGAGAAGAGCATAGGCTGAACATGGACAGCAGACTAAACCATATCAAGAGAGCAGAGAGGAATAAGGAACGCAAGGGAGGAGCCACGGATCAAGATGGGTGGCTCAGGCCAAGAAACCTACATAGCCAAAGTGACTGAACTACATGGGGATCAGGCTGGGGAAAGGAAGCCCCGCCCCTGGGAAGGAGAGGGTTAGGGAGTGGGCAGGATGAGAACTACTGAGCGAGACTTGTCCTGCATTAAGACCTAAAATTCACAGCTGCCTATAACTCTAGCTCCAGGGGACCTCACCCTTTCCAGCCTCAGAAGACACCCACACAGCATTTAAAAATATCTTTAAGCTGGGTATAGTAGTGCACACACTTTTAATTCTAACACTCAGGAGGCAGAGCAAACAGAACTCTGTGAGTTTGAGGCCAGTCTGTTCTACATAAAGAGGTCCAGGACGGCCAGGGCCAGATGGAAAGACTCTGTCTAAAATAAATAAATAAATAAAATAAAATCTTAAAAAAGAACAGTTTCTAAGAAGACATGAAAGAAGGGGGGGCACTTGATGGAAAGGAGTCTAGATGAAATGAGAGGGGCAATGGGTGAGTAGGATTAAAATGCCCTATGCCCATGAATGAAAGGTCAGTCTGTAAATCACAAGATCTCCACTTGCGGTAGGGACGTGAATCTTTACTAGTCCTGAGCATCTTACCATGCTAATACTGTGCCTTAGCGTTATCGGCAATCTCTTCAGATGCAAAGGCTTTGGGGTGGGGTTGCTGAAGGCACAAGGCTGTTTTTCCTAGTCAAAGCTCAGCTCCTTGCCCTGGTGAAGCTACAAGCATTTGGCCGTGTCCTGGTGAGTAGGCTGTAGGCAAAAGGACATGTGTATATGCTCATTACTATACTCTTCACCAGGGTGAGTGTGTGTGTGTGTGTGTGCATGTGTGTGCATTCCTCCTCGCCCGTTCCAACTTATCGGCCTCAGCTTCATGTGATCGATAAGATCAAGCTCAAGAGGTGTCTTGTGCGGGTGCAGTTGGATGTAACAGGCTCATCCCCTCTTGGCTCCCTAGGCTGTCTTCAGGCCATGCCTAGATCACAGACTGGCACAAATGACCTGCTGGTGAAATCTGAGCCGAGGGGTGCTCAGGTAAGACACAGGACCTACACAGGGAGCCTCGCCTTAGTGCCGCATGGCCTTGACTCATTCTCCCGACTAAATGAGACGCTGTCCATGCCTGCTTGCATTCCTGCCCTGTTCTGGCACCATCCCGCGGGGCTGGGCCGTTCTCGGCGATGCAGGGGTGTGAACAGGCATGCCAGGCTACCATTTGCTTTTACTGGGATAGAACAGGTCACCTGCCCGCCAGAAGATGGCATCGGATCCCAGAACAGATGGGTGTGAGCCACCGTGTGGCTACTAGCTATTAAACTCAGGACCTCTGGAAGAGCAGACAGTGCTCTGCTCTTAACCTCTGAGCCATCTCTGCATCCCCAGTGTGTTTTCTTTTATGAGGCTAGAGATTAAATTCCTAGCCTTGTGCATACTAGGTAAATACTCTAACACTGACCAATACCCCCAGAATTCCCAGATCCTTTAAGTAAAGACCATTAAACAAAGAGGTAACTGTATAGAGGAGCTTACATAGTATTTCTTTTGCTCCAAGTGAAGAAAGCTCCTAAGGTAGAAGAAAACAGGCAGAGAGAGAATGAACACAGAAACCAGGGCACAGTTAAAGGTTCAACAAGAAAGCTTTGGAGTAATGCTCATCTGGAAAAACATATCCTCTATTATTATCTGGTTTACACTTGTCTTTAATTTCTTAATATTTTGTTGCTATCCAAACAACTTTTTAAAATCTAGTGACAGTTCAGAACAAGTTTTCACCTGGGAAAGGAGCTGGGTCACAACTAGTTATTGTTAACCATGCAAAAATCTCATGTTCTGGGGCTGGAGAGACAGCTCAGAGGTTAAGAGCACTGGCTATATTTCCAAAGGTCCTGACCTCAATCCCCAGCAATCACAAGGTGGCCCACAACCATCTATAATAGAGGTATGGTGCCCTCTTCTGGCGTGCAGGCACACATGCAGGGAGAATACTATATAAATAATAAATTTAAAAAATAGATTTTTAAAATCTCAGGTTCTAAACACATAATACTCACCAAGATATGCCAGAATGCCAACCATTTTATCTCCCAGAGAACTTGTAGTTATAAAAATATAGCCAAGACTATGTTTCCATGTTTAGAAATGTATTATTGACACCCTGCTATTAACCAAGCATGATCTTAAAACAGAGATATAAAACCCAAAAGCCCACGTGTATAATCACGTTAAATGTTTTTACCAATCTTAATACTTCTGGCTCAGTACAGTTGTCTCTAAGCTGGTGTTAGATCTCAAACCCAGGACAAAAGGCTGAGCTGCCTATTAACACATCAAAGCTGACGCTGGCTGCCAGACACTCCCAGCATCCCTCAGTCCCTGCCTGTTTCAGACCCTCCTAGCTGGCATACCCTACCCCCTTAGCCTAAATTCCTTAGCCCAGGGGCTGGGTTGGCCCTGCTCCTCTCTATATTATTGTGCCAGATTTGCAAGACCCCAGAAGACCATCAGGAGTTGAGTCCATTAAAAACACATGAGGATCTTTTTATCACAAGCTTTAGCTTGGGCTCACACACCTTCACTGCCATAGCGGTTGAGAGCAGAAAGCTGCGTGTTCAGGTAGGTGGTTGATTTAAAGATTCCTGTCCTTCCTCCCAGTGTGCCCAAAGCAGGGGAATTCCTGCCTGGCAAGTGTCTATTGGTTGAAACACAAAAGGGGATGTTGCATTTTGAATTGATTGGCTATAGGAAGGCCTCCAAACCATTAATGGTCTGTCTTCCCTTGTTTGGTTGTCCTAGAGGAGGGGGCAATCTGGGCTGGTTTCTTAGCAACCGTATCTCTAGTGGCAGGAAAGAATGCAGTAAGGCTGGTTCCTCCCCACAGGTTACTGAACATGTCTCCACCTGTCTGGCCTTCGTTCAGGCTTGTGCTTTAAACTTTAAACCAGTACCTCAAAAAATTAATTTTTAATTCTTTGGTCTCTCAATATAAGCCAGCTATTTGGGTTGCATCTCCTTTTTTCCCCTCTTGCCTGGTTGACCAAGCACCTTGTCCTCAGTGTCGTCCTTCATGGTCATCTCCCTCCCACCCCCACCCCTCCACCCTGCCTCCTCCCTGGCCTCACACACTGAGGACTCTCTCAGTTGCCTCTGTCTCTGTTTTCTCTCCTATTTCTATATTACACC